AGTAAAGGGAAAAAAAAAGTTCTTTAATTCAGTAACTCTGTAATAGTAAGGTGTTTAGAGTCGAATGATCTCTCTAATTGCACATAACACTTGAGGCTATCATACCTTTTGCCCAGCTCGAAATCGAGTTTTTGATCGAAATCGAGAGGTAGGGAACTCTTAAGGTGAAATACGAATAGTCGTAAATCTCTTAATGAGAAACGGTAAGTACTACAATCAATTGTTTTACACAGTTACTCAAATACATTTGAAAACGAAAGATTTATATAAATTAATGTGACTAGTAGCTCTAATATACAGTTATTAGTTAATATTTGCGTTAACTAATCTTATTCGAATAGTTGATTTAATACTTTGAGAAGTATCTGAAAAACTATTTTGCTTTTCGAAATGTTTCATACAAAACTAAAAGAGTTTTCGAAATATCGTTCTTTTTTTCTCTTCATTATTTTGATGAAATTCAAATAAAATGTCGATTGAATTTAATCATTAAAGTCTTCAAAAATTAGATGAAAAGTTATTAATAATTTTTCTTTTCTATTTAGATTCATATTCATCAGAAATATATAATAAATGATATTCGAAAGAAATTTAAAAAAAATCTTATTTTATTTTCAAATCTTAGCTTGAGAAATAATATGTTAATAATTTGTATTAAAAATAATGTAGAAATCTTTCTTTTAATCAAATTCGACTATCTTTTCTTTTTTGTTGGTCTTATATTGATGGACATAACTTTCACTCTAAGGATTTTATTGAATTCAGGAATCTTTAATGTATTTTCAGTATCACCATTAGAATAAATCGTTATAGTTGAATCAGTTTAAAAATTTTTCAAATGTTACGGAAACTGTGTTCAGAAATCATCTGAAATAAAAACTCATACATGATGTCGATAGAAACGAGTCTCAATCTTTAAAAATTCCTATTAATATCATGTGACAATTGTACAAAAGTTTTAGTTGGAAAGAATTTATTTTTCTGAACCAATAGAATCATATTATCAAATATTAATCGATGTCTAATTAGTTTTTTACGTGTTAACTATCGTTACAGATATCAATCATTTTCTTTTTTACAATGTTTTACATATAACACAGTATAATTGTAAAACATGAAGTAATTGAAGAATCTTATCTTATATAATATTTCGTAGCTTCCTAATTGCAACCAAAAATTAAGCCAATTAAGAAAAAAAAGTGGTCGCAATTAGGAACACACAAATTTACGTTGATCTCACTTTTAATGCGTTTCTGAATTGCGACCACTTTTATTAGTTAGCTACTAATCAACAGTTTGATTGAAAACAATATTTATTAACAAAACAAACAGATAACAAGAAATTTATTCTTCATCACTAGTATCTTTGGCATCTTTTATAATATCGATATAACGATGAGAAATAGTTCGTAAAACTTTTTGATAGTCACCAAAATTTTTATCTTGAAGATATTTTTTTTTTGCTGACATAAGTTTATTATCATCTTTTATATATCTTCCTTTTCTTAGTCTTGTTGTTCGTTTTTGTGTTTGTTCTTGTTCTCACGACTATATATGTAAACTTTATCAATAGAACAGAACTCATAATCTATTATGTGCATAACTAATTAATAAAAGTGGT